GAAAGGAGAGGGGGGGGGTGACCAGCCGCAACCCTACACACCCACCCCCATACTGAGGCTTTCTGAGGCCAAGTATTGTCTACGATAACTAAATGCAACGTTCACGATCACGGTAACGAGCAATACAACCATCGATCCGAACTGGTAAGAAGACGGATAACGCGGGATCAACGGTATATAGATCGAGATATGTACGGAAAAGTTTACGCTTGCGATGCGACACCGTGACTCATCAGAACAAGTGACAACTTCGCAGCCCAGCATAAATAAGGCGTACCTGGTAAAGCACTGTCTTATTTTAAGTCAATGAAGTCGTGGACAAAAGGTGAAAACACTGTTGCTACACAAGCATCCTCTTGAAGGCTGCCGAAGAAAAGCTCTCGAAATAAGCCCATAACTTGTTGTCAAGGGTGTGTTTGCGTTCCACTGTAGGAAACCAGAAGACAATAAAAAATCTGTTGCTCACAAGGATGGGGGTAACGGTCGAAATACACGGTTTTTGGACGTAATTGTAAAGAACAAAATACCGAGGAACCTTAACGCCGAACGTAGTGGCGAGTAAACAGATTGTAATAATGCCATTCAGGCACCGAATGTTCAGCTACGAGCCATTGGGAATTTGACCACGGTCATCATATTCAGCATTGGAGAAACGTTTTTCTTGTTTAAACGAGTCTTCTTCCAAAGTGTGCAGGAACTTGGATACTGGTCATCTATCTTGGCAAAAGCTGACCGAGACCAGTCAGGAAAAATGCTGAAACTAGCCAAAACCTTGCACAAACCTACGTTGGTTGCAGGGGTGGACACCCCGCTCTGCACACCCCGTCGATTAGGGGTTCTCCACCAGAGGCCATACGTTGTCGATTGGTTGTCTGAAAGAGAGCCTAACGGTACGATTGCCGTTGGTGAAGGGTTGGGCAGGAAACGCGGCTTTACATAACGCTGTTCACGATCGGGAGAACGAGGTGGAGTGTAATAGCATACGCTTACGTACTCGGAGAAACTTAGCGGCTTACGGAAATATAGGGAGATGGATATGGTAAGACTGACGGCTTATGGAGCGAGATATGCAGGGAAGGTATAAATGTCTAACGAGACAGTGTGACTGATCGGGACAAGTGACAATTCCGCGGTTGAGCGTAAATAGGCAAGGTGCACATGGTAAAACACTGACGTCTTTTGATTCACAGAGGACTCTTGGACGAAACGTGAAAACATTGTTATTGTACTCAGGTTAGGGTGTTAAAAATGTTCTCACTAAATTCCTAGTTGATCTTGGATTTATTGACGTTAACTTACATATTATCCGTTTTACATTTGCTAGTTTGCTTGGTTTTGTGACATGCGACTCGCAACAAGTTCTGCTATAAACTTACGTTTATCATACGTTGTACGATGAGTTTTAGTACCGTGGATAAGGATAAGGTGTTTGTTCCCTGAAACGTGTGGTCGGCAATTTCAATGTTTGTTTTCAGTTTTTACAACCCTTAACCATGCAATTTCGTGCCCCGGTTTTGGTTGCTGTCTTTTGGCAGCCAGTCTGGATAAAAGAGTAGAATGAAGATTGGAATGTTGAGAGCAAATTCAAGCGAAAGATAGATAAATTATATAGACTGATGTTACAATAATAATGAGTGGGTGCAGGAGCGCCACTGTTTGCGACACCTAGCCATATCGCTCAGTGTATTGAACCATCGTTGGCCATGGTCTCGGGGTACCCAGCCAGGGAGCCTAACGGGACCTATGTGACCCAGTCTCCTGGTTAGGATTTTTATTCCCCCAGGTCTTCGTTTAACCGCCCCTGACCTTTTTCCAATCGCCACCTGCCTCGGCAAATGTCGCTCACCGTGGCAACCTATTTGGTGACATGCGTATCATGCCCCGAGCAGTGTAATCTGTGAAGGTCGACCACTCGGTCCACTGGACTACCGCGATTACCAAAACTGTATGCCTAACCTTACCATTGCTCATCCGGTTACCCCAACAGAATCATGCAAGACAGTGGTGTTCAAACACCGACAGTTTTTCTTTAACCTGTTTTCGTAATGGCCAAGTTTCTGCGCCGTATAGCAGCAGCCGAACTGCTGCAGCATATACTTGATCATTCACGACAGCCGGATGTCGCGACGACGCCGCAGACGTCTCAAGTTGGCAAATGCCAACCTAGCCTTCTGTGTGCAAGCTGACACTTCATCCGTTATGCGTCCACCAGGTGAGATGTAGCTGCCCAAATAACAAACCTTATCCACTTGCTCTATTACTTTCCCAGTTAGAGTGGGTGGAACACTTTGGAGTAATTGAGAAATTTCTTTATTGAATTCGTCCTTGATTTCAGCTATACTGCAATCGGTCGGTGCATACACCGAGTGATTATTTAGAGTAAGTGTCTCGTACCTTCCATGTTGGGGTCCGAAAGATTCCGCAACTGGTTGGTTGGAGGCATAGAAGGGTATGGCAGCAAACTGACAGCAGTGGTGTTCTTGTCATTTTTTTACCAAGCCAGAATTGTTTAAAAGGTATGTATGCATTACTAGATTGTGTGTTGACCACTTTCTTCTGCCTCCCTTGAAGTAGGTCCAACTCCTGTCCATCTAACCACTACCTTTACATACATTATGAGTTTGGTAGTGATCGGTGAATTTCACTTCTCCGCATTTCGCTGTACAACGACGGCGACGATAGCGTCTTGTATTTGTATTTCACGCACGTCTGCGTTCAAACTGTGTGCCAAACAAATTACAGTACAATAATCTTTTTAAAAACAGAAACGTTCCATGATTTGATTATGTGTGGAATACTGCCAGGTTTCCCAGGCCAAGACGGGTAAATTTTCTTGGGTGAGTTCATAACCGGAGCAATTCGACTAATCAAAGCCCGATGCGGTGTGAAAAACACAGCAATCCCTTGGGGTCCGGTGTCCAGTTCATCGGATCGTACGCCCTTTGGACGGGGTCGAACGTCCAAGTTGCCCAATACACCTCGATGCCCAATTGAATCGGTGACCACTGCCACAACCAGGAATATATATATATATATATATGGGTCGTACGTCTCTTCTTGATTGGTTAAGAATAAGGGTTTTTAGCGAACTCCCCTAGATGAACTGCCAGTGGTTCACCGATTCGGCTATAGCCTCAGATGCTGGCTTTTCGTCCTCTCACTTGGGTGTGAAACTACCACCAATTTGAGGCGGTGAGTAGGGCTTCCTCAACAGAGGCTACTTGAAACGCTTGGCCGTATAGGAGGGTGGCGGTGGCGCATTGGTTTAGTCGCTGCCACAGGCATGCTTTGGACCTTATGGTCCGAGGTTCGATCCCGCCACCGCCACCCGACTTTGGCGGTAGACAGCTTTGCTGTCTTCCAGTTCAATACCACACCTAACCTTTTGGGGTCTTATGTAGTTCACCACTCCAAGTCCCGGGGCTTAGGTTACCGGTTTTCATCACTGAACAGCAGGTCCCCGTGACTATGGGGCTCTCCCCGTCCGCTGTTCATCGCACGCAAGTGCGTAATAATAAAAAAATAGCGAGGTGCAAGGAAGGGTAACAAGCCACAACCCAAGGCACCCACCCTCGACCATACTGAAGCTTTCGGTGGCGTCTCAATCGATAAAATGGTACAGGAGTAATCGATCCCAGTAAATGGGCCCCCATTTCGCTTTTAGCACTTCCTTGCGGTCAGGTTCCTGTAAGAATTAATGGCTTTGGACGAGATCCCTAATTGTTCAGCTTAGTGACTGGGCACCCTAGCAGTGCTTTCCATCAAACTAATACATGCGTGCATTGTGAGTTTGCCAGTGATCAGAACTTCACTGTATTCTGCAGTCCGACGATGATGATCATGATGATATCAAGTGGGCGGTCCATCAGTGTCACTGGTGTGGAACGATGAATCACGGTTTCATATGGATGATAGATGGAAGGTTGAGTGTCTGAAAGTCTTTGAGACATGCAAACAAGATGAGTGTAACACTACTCGAATATGGCGAGTTCAGTTGCTGTGTAGTAAGTTATTCTGTCTGATGGAAGGGTTGAGCTGATTTTCATAGGTAAGGGAATAACTGGTTCGAAGTACCGATACACATTGTTGTAGCCGCAGAACCACTGGTAGTTCACCTAGGGGAGTTGGCCAAAAACGGATTCAAAACCAACCAAGAGGAGGCCTACGAGCCACGCACCTTCCCGGTTGGGACAATGGTCACCGGCTCGCTTTGGCACCTTGGACGTTTCACCGCGTCCAAAAGGCGTATGATCCGATGAACTGGACACCGGCCCCCAGTAGGTTGCGGTTTTCACACCGCCCCGCTGCCTTGCGGGTCAGGCTTTGGCTAGCCGAAGGCTCCGAGTGTGAATTCCCCAACCTGGCGGTATTCAGCTCACATGCCAACCATGGAACGTTTTTATTTTTTATAAATATTATTGTATCATGAGTTGTTGAGCCCAGTTTGGCGTCAGACATGTGATATATATATATATATATATATATATATATATGACAGTTTGGTAAACAACGATGTTGATTGTTGTTTTTGTAGCTCGGGTGGTATAATATGATGTTCAGTTGTTCGCCGAGCTTGGCAATTGTATTGCAAACGTTTCATCACCAATCGAGGTGACATTCTCAATGCAGTATATATATATATATATATATATATATATATTAAACAAAGATCATCCTTTTCCGTACTGTATCTTTCGTCAGGATCTGGCAGGAAAGTATACTTTTCGTCCCTTTCACTTAGGCATTTATGGGCACATATTGTCTTTTTGCGACGAATGTAAGCAACGTTTGATAAGTTGATGATTCTTTGTTTCGTTATGTACATTTAATCCATTCCTTTCCAATTGATCCATTCTTTAGATCCTTCTGTATCAATCTGCTTAGTGGTATACAAATGCGTAGCTTGTCTACAAATCATACTTGCTGCTGCAAG